TAGCAGTCCTTTGATGTGACAGATCACAAAAAGCAGGGCCTGTCAAAAACTGATGTATGGGAGAGTAAAAGGCCTCCAAGGTCAGAGAGCTGTCCTTCAAAAGAAATCACTTTCCTTTTTCCTGTTCTAATTGGGGTGCAGAAGAATTAAACTGTCAATTACTTTTTTCTCAACGACCCTTTTAAACAAAGATTTTTTTTTTTTTTTTTTAGAGAAATACTTCTCTTGAATTTTCTGACTGTAGAGAATGCTTCTAGTCTGGATTAGTTTCACATTATCTTAAATGGTTACCCACCATCAGAAAGTGCCAAACACTTGCCAAGCAGAGATGTTAGCAAAAAGAAGACAGTAAATTTGATAGACTCCATATATCAATCTTAAATAGGAATCTCAAAATACCTCTATACTTTCTATAAACACGCAGGAAGCTCTAAAATCTGTGGTCTGCCACATTTTCAATTTTGATGGGAAAGAAGTGCATCTAACCAGTGTTATGTGCAATAAAACCATACACCAGTCTCACCTCTAAAATCAGCCACAGCTGAACCTGTTCAGGTTTCACAAGTGTCACTGACACCTCCCCAGCACTAGCACCAATGCTGGTAGGGGGCAGTTCACCTCATTCAGTTAAAACTGAATATCATCACTATCAACACAGGAAAGTTACAACCAACTATGTTTTAGAGGGAAATCAAGATTCTTCTTTTTACATAGATTACACCACAAACAAACAGTGATGGACAAGTTCCTTATTGGAACTGAACATTATTCCATCCAAACTGTTCCACAATAGAATATAATCTCCAGGTCCATCTATAGCTTTCACTGATTATGCCAAATTTCTTGGTGTTTTTATTTTACCATTTAATATGCCAGGCTAATTACAACAGCATGCTTTGTACAGCTTCATTTCTAATGCTGGCAACGTTCCATTCTGGGATTAGTAGCTTTTGTCCAGGTAACCTGCAGAGTTCAGAGTCTCGACACTAGATGCCTAGGAGATAATTGAAACTCTAAATATCTTTGAGTTTGCCTCCTCTATACTTCTGCATTGGCAACGACTCCAACCATTGACGTTCATCAACTCAGCAGGCACGCACAGAAAGCCACACACTATTTCAGCTAAAGCAAAAGTGTGCCAATTATTGATTTTCCCATTTTATACACAAAAAAATAAGTGGCCGTTTCTGATGGAACACAGGATGACACCCTCCCATTCCTGCTGGCATCTTGGCTTCTCCTGGCCTCCAGAAATATACCACATCCCACAGTCATTGCGAGAAGGTATAGTACCTGTCTTCCAACACAGCTTGAGCTTTAGAAAGATCCTGAGCTTGTCAGTAAAATACTGGGGATTTCTCTAAATTAAGTGATTATAACATTGTTATTGACAGTTTCCTACCGCTTCTATGGCAAATTCACTAGGTCTATATAGATTTAGGCTTTACTTAGGAATAACAAAATAAGCTGATGAAGCAGCCTGAGAAAACAAGTATGGCTATCTGTTACTTACGTTTCAAGGATAACTGATACTTCATATCGTAGCAGGCAGATCTTGATATAAAAATCAATATATTTTGTGAGAAATGGGGGTGCCTGAAGTGCTCTGAATGCTTTTGAATTACGTGCTCACAGCTCAGCCCAGCCACACATCCTGGCTGTGTCTCTTTCCTAATGTCCAGCATAAGACTTATTTTTTTTTTTCTCTTGAAGAACCTGACAGCTAATAGCTGCTGGCACTGAAATAACAGCAGGGAAGCATGTGAACATGATTAAACTAGGCAGCCTTGAGGGAAATTTTCAGAAAGTGCTTGAGCAGGGAGTTTGTAGGGAGTGAGTGACAGAATCAAAAGCAAGGATTTGGAATTACTTCTAGGACCCACTGAGCAAGCAATCTCACCTGTCTGAACCCCAAATTTTCCATTTGCATACCAGCACTACCATATAACGCTCTTCACAAGAGGTATATGATCACATAAACAGCTTTGCAATTCTCTGTAAAATAGCATGATTTAAGGTAATTTGGCCTGCAAGCCTTGAAAGATCAGAATCTGAAAAAAATCACCTTTTTCCTGTAATCTTGAACCTTAAGGAAAAGAGAGTTTTTAATGAAGATATAAATTTCTCTATTGAAACATTTTAAAATAATTTCTTTACTATACAGCTTCGTAGATTGGATGGCTTTATGAGTGCATGCATTAAAATAAACTTTTTTCAAGATTAGTGCCTACTTCCTGTTTTGCAATTTTTCCAGCTCTTTTTTATCTACTGAAACATTAAAAGCAATGAAAGAGCTCTGTAAGTTTGGTTTTAACAGAAAACCAAATTGCTACTTCAGGACAGTACATGGAAAGACATAACACTGGATAAGGAAGCTGAATCCAAGACATTTATTTCTCCCTGCATGTGATTTCCCATTACTTGGGATTTCAGAACTGCCAAGCAGTTACAAAGCCAAATATCACAGCACAGGACTTCCAGCCAGAATCTGTCTCCAGTTCCCTTTGCTCAACTTGCCAAGAATGGACACATGAGATTGGCCTCATCTCCCTTGAAGTTGCTTATGATTTACTGCATTAGCTTCCAACACAGCAGACAGGGGTAGTTATGTCAGCAAAAGGCCAGAATGAATAACTTAAACTCCACCAAAGGCAGCAAACAAACAAGCCTATTTAAACAAGCAACCTTAATGTCAATTATTTATTATCTGCAGTATTTGGAACACGTGCTATCGCTCAAGGTCAACATACAAATGTTGGACAGTCACACCCAAAGAAGAAACTCCAGCTTTTTGAATTTCCATACCTTGTTTCTTTCAATTTCTCTTACACATCACTATAATACCAACTGAGTACTGCCAGACTGTAGCTGGAACTAATATAATATCATTCCAGTAAAATAATCAAATGGCTCACTTGAATAACAGGCAAAGAAAACCCAATCTAAAAAGCACAAACAAGCCAAGGAGGAAGACATGATGCCCGCAGTTAAGACATGAAAGGAAAATGCAGAACTGATGAAGGCAATCAGAGAAGCCAAAGAAAGTGGTTTCAGAATGAAATTTCAAAACTTAAACAGTTGGTGATGCACACAAACACCTGCATTTCCCAGCTACACAAACATCCTTATTTGGATTAGCTCCAGAGTCAGTTAACATTGCAGTGTTGTCTTGATCACAGTCAGAGACTATTTGAGATGCCATTTCAATAATATATAGTGGTTGAAAATGTTCTCTCCTTTTCTACTTAATGTTCCCAGGAACATGTTGTGCCCTCTGTCATAACTGATTTTTAATTTTCCTCTTAGCAACAACATACTGTATTATAATATGGCTATTGCTATTTTCTCATAGTGTGACAATCTAAAAGTAGCATCCAGCTTTGTAACCCTGCTCACTAATATTTAGCACCTTTGAGTGGCCATGATAGCGACGCATTCTCAGAACATAGCTAGACTTTAGGACTATGGAACCACTGTGAAAATTAAGACATGTAAGATACAGGTATTTTTGAAAACATGCTCTTCTAAGACCTGGTACAGTTCTCTCCAGGTTAAAAGGAATTTTAGAGGGGTATCACATATATTCTTACTGTTTATCTACACAGTATACATGCTCCACACTTGCCATCTTTTCACTTAGCACATATTCCCATTCATACTACTACAGGTGCTGATGCAAAGCAATATAGGAGATCAGATCTAATGATGTAATTTAAATTGGCAAAACAATACCCAGATGTAACTTGACCTCCATAAACCATTTTGCCCTTTGTATTTCAACCTGTCATCATCATAAATCTTATCCCTCCTCCAATCCTAGTTATTATGCATGCATGCAGAAGGGGGCTCTCTATTCCAGTGCTAGGATTTTTGTATCAGACATATGTATTACATTCTGGACTCCCTGCAGTGCTGTTTCCCTGGCTGCATTCCCAGGATCCTATGCTGCATCATCTGTACAGGTTTTCTCCCCACGTTACTCCTCCCAAGCATCTTTTGCCAGCATCATGCCTCTTTATTGGCTGGTGAATCTTAAATGCCTTTGTATGTGACTAGTCACTATTAAATTTGAGGATTTACATACCAATTAACAGCAGAACAAGATCTGTCCTTGGGTTACTGTGAAGCACTTAAGCTGTTACAAAATGCATTATTTTCTTTCAAGGGTGAGGGGAAGTATATAAAGATATTTTTTCTTCTTTTTTTTTCCCCCTACCTCTCACAGAAATCCTTTTCTGATTAGTAACATTGTTCTGTCACGGAGCCAAACCCTTCAGAGGCAAACGGGGAGGTCATGGTCAAATTTAATAAGATCTCGCATTCCCTTGGAAATGCCACCAGGGAGCAGACAAAAGCAAGCGTTTGCTGAGCTCCTGGGGGAAAGCCGAGCGTTTGCACAGGAGCCCTTGGTATGCAGATGGTGTCGCTGCCTTTAGAAACAGGCTTAGATTTGAAACCCATAGGAACAAGCTGATGGGGCTAACACACCGTGGCTTAGGAGCACAAGCTATACATGAAGATGCTAGGGCTGGGTCTTTGTTCTCTCATCTCTGCTGCGTCCCAGGAACAGCAGGGTAACTGCTCTGCTCATTCAGCACAGGGAGAAGAGAGAATGCTATTGATATGTGGTGAAAATGTAAGAAAAAGCAAGCTTTCAATGGGTTTTATGGCCCTGCGAGGCAGTGGGCTGGGTACCTGTGGGGCGCCAGCGCCCCCGCCTGGCCACACTGCCCGGGTTCACCCCCCGACGGCTCCTGGAAGCCCCTGGCTGCTCCCTTTTCTCTTTAGATGAGGGATTTGTGGGGTGTAGGATGCACTGAAAGGCCAGTCTGCAAGGCATTGTGCGTCTCATCCTATATGCCGCGTATTACAGCAGGTGAGGTATAGCTGTGCTATAAGGCGGGGGACGAGGAAAACTCAGCTAGGATTTGGGTAAACCAAGCAACACTCACAGCACATTCCATATAAAGCAGATTGTTGTCCAGAATCTTTGTATCTACCTGTGCTGGGCTTCAGTCGACTCTCAGCAAGCTCAGAAATTGCTCCTGTTGTAATGGTCTTCTTCAGTCGAGAGACTCCAGACGCTGCTGTCACCCCTGGTTTTGTCAGCATGTCGTCGCTGCTGGCCCTCTTCAGCTGCAACACAGACATCTTGTGAGCAACCAGAAGATTAAGACCTTGAGTATTCCCATCAAGTAGTTCCAAATGCAAGGTTCCCGGGAGAAAAAGAACATTTCTATGAAGTAACCCTATGGGAATACTTCGATAACCGTACTAAATTTTTAATTAATTTTTATATTTGTTTTGCATTCTAGATATTTGTGAAGTGGGTTAAGAGACACTACTGTTTCAATAGCAAAGAATGAAAATGGGAAAGACCGTTCAAATAAGCAAATAATTGAAAGGCAGGGAGAAAACAGTTTACAGGAATAGCCTACTGCTCACATCTTGCTGCGAGCAGCATTCAGATTTTCTCACTGGTTTACATTTAGTCAAGTATTTGGGCCTGTGCAGATAAGTGCCAGTTGCAGAGCCTGGCACACTGAGTAGGTCAAAGCAACAAATAACTGGCCCTTAATCTGTCTATCAAAAAAAATAATAATGAAATCCTAAAAGGATCTGCTGGTTCTTGTCCCTCCACTCAGGATCACGTAGTTTTGTCCCAGTGGTGCCCTTAGATCCTCTGAAGAGGCTTCTGAGCAATCCCAATAGCAAGTAACTGCCAGTTCCTTCCTGTGTTTGTCAAACAGGAGTCACCAACCTTTGGGGCCTCATAAAGCAGGTCATCTGACACAAACAGGGAAGATGCTGCAGATCAAGCCAAAAATGTAAAAATCATTTTTAGCTAAGCAGCTCAGGCTGCCACGACAAAACACAAAAGCAGCCGGTGCAAGATCCAACGCAATTACCAACTGGAAATCCCTTATCCATGGTTTCAGTTATTTAGCCTCCTTGTTTATTGAAAAGCTGTGATCAAAGATGGCAAATCATCTCGTGGCAGGACCTGATAGTATTTTACTGGGTAGCAGAAACCAGAAAGTCTGTTCACAAGAAAGCATTTTGTTCATGTGACCACCAAGGAAATCATTCACAGCACAAAGAGGCATTGGTTTTCAGAACTGAATTCTCCAGAGTTCTGAAGATTAATGCTGATACTTTTCATAAGCTTGGAAGAAGATAAACTATTTGCTTTACAGGGTATTATATAGTACATAGGGTTTTTAAACCTATTAGCGGATATTGTTATAATTTACTTAGTAAGCCTTATTGGACATGAGAAAGCAAAGGTAAAGCAAGTCTACTCGTAATGCGTACTCAAGAAATCCAAGCAATAAAAGCACAATGAACTTAAGATTCCAGGAGAAACACTGAAATTATGTTGCTTTTGTTGAAGAAGTTGAAATTTATCTCAGAACTTAGATCAGCTGCTTTCCTATTTGTGTGCCTCCCATAACAGTCTGTGTACTTCTAATAACAGCCTCTAATTAATTTCAGGAAAAATACTTTAAGCATTTTAAAAGACCAAAGCTCTGGAGAGTCTCCCTAGAGAAGTATTTTTTCTATCCTTTTCATTTTGTGGACACCTAAACTGTTTTCACAAATCAAAACCTACTTCCTTTGAAGTCGTCCAGTGACACCCAGGGGGTCCATGAACCACAGGCTGAAAACCACTGCTTGGGTTAAACGAAAATAGAGCACACAACAAGCACCCTCCCTATTTAGTGGTTCCTGAATGTAAAAATCTTTAAAGAAAATGTAGTCTCTCAGCTCCAATTCTTTCTCCCTTTCATCTCTTCCTCCGACTCAGAGTCTGTGGTTTCCTGGACCCTGTGAGCACGTATGTTTCAATAGCTGGAGTGTTGATGTGCTCCAGGATACCAAACAGCTAACGTTTTGCCTTCTGGCAAGAGGTTTTGTCAGCTCACTTTTAGGAACAGAATGGAACAATCTGACTTTCTGACCTTTAAAGACTTCTGCAGTCTCTCTAAAGCAATTTCTTTGGTGTAGCTTTTCTACAGCAGCAACTCTAAGTTTGCCATTTATTTTTTTCCATCTTCAAAGTTAAGGCAATTCCCTCACACAAAGACAGTATGAAAAAACCCACTCATACCTTGTAAAGAGACAGCGTCTCCCCCATCAAACGTGAAGTATTTTCAGAAACATGCATTAGTCTAATATACAACACATTTGTAATCTCACTAGGCTTAATACAGAGGGTCAAGCCCACTCCCAAGTCTCAGGGTGTAATAATGTTCCAGGCCTAAACCAAAGCTTTAACCCAGAACAAGGCTGTAAGGCCTGCACAGTCCCTGCTGGTTAGTACCTTGCTGAGCCGAGACTCAAAGGCAAGCGAAGTTGAGGACTTGGATGTCTTCATTCCTGTTGAGGTGGTGGAAAGCGGTTTTCCTCTGTCAACCCCATGACTCCCTTGTTTTGCCATTGCAGTCCAAGGCCTGGCAGTACTCTTCATTTTCTTCCCAAATAGCTCAGTCTACAGAACCTAAAAAAAATTTGAATAATATTATATATATTTAAACACAGAGAAACATAAACTGTCTATATACCATCTGAAAGAGAGCAGCAGAGTTATCTGGCATTAGTTTAAAGGGCTGAAGAGAACATGCTAAACTTTGTTCCCTTATCTCATACCCATCAAAACTCAGCCCAGAGAAACCCTCAGAGCAGGCTGCAGCCACTTATATTTTTCACACTGAATGATAACATGAAACAGCACAGAAGGAACACTGACTTTTTTTGGGACTGCAGAAGTCAGAGACCTTTATCAGCCACAGGAGAACACCTGCCAACACTGAAGCACAATGAAAAGAATATTTTAACTGAGAACACTGGAGTCCGCAGCTATTGAAGACAACCTTGGGATAAAAAGAAAACTACTTCTCTTACTGTTAGATCCAGCATCTTCAACTGAAGTAACACTCAATTTTTAAAACTCACACTAGAAGCAAGTTTCCTCAGTCGTACAGAAAATAAGATATATTAAGCTTATCAGAGTCTTCTGGAGAAGCAACAGTTGATGTTGCCACAGTGATAAAAAGATGTCTCACAATACCAAGATTTACAAAACATGGTGAAAAAAAATATCAACTTCCTGGCAAACAAAAACCCAAATCCACTATTCCTCAGAGATAAGCTTATGCAAGAGAGGAATCCTGCCAGGAATCAGTAAACAGACATGAATTCCACCACCACCCCCCCCTTTTTTTTTTTCTGGATATAGTTGAACAAATTTAATCTGCCAGTAAGAACAACTAGTCTGTTTCTCTCAGTACGTAGACAGCTGCCAATTAAATAGCAAGCTCAACTCTTGTAGACTTAAAGCCATAAATTTTCCCCAGCCATTGCCCAATCCAAACTGGGAACAGAATAACAGAATTAGTTGGATTTAAAAAAAAAACCAAAAAAAACAAAAACACAAAACCATAAAACACCTCACCAGTCTGAGTTGGGAATGGGAGGGAAGAGAGATTGCCTGGTATCTCCTCCTCCACTTCAGTACAAGCAACATTTTTCTTCTGCAGCTTCGTTTTCTAAAATAGACACAGGATGTAGCTGTCTATCAGTCCTGTGTGGGCAGAGGCTAACTTGCTCCTTGTCTGTTAAACAGGTAACCAGGAGATGTGCACAGAAATCAGCCTCCTGTCTCAGCTAGAGCCTTGCACTTGCAGAGAGCACATGCTGTTTATCACACAGGAGCCCGGCTGGGCCAGCACGAACTTGGACAACAATCCTTTGATGGAGATGCCAAAACAATCTCTTCCTGGCTGAATCAGTGGAAGGGCTTAGGTCACATTTTGTGTCTCATAATTTGTTTTATACTTTATTTCACGTTCACAAAGAAGAGCACTCACTGAACTCATGGGAAGCAAATCTGTTTGGGGCCAAGTTGTATTTGACAGTGACAGCACCTTCCAGGTGCCACGATGGGTTATTTAAGGAGTGTTTTGCTGCACAGAGGCAGAAGGGAATGTCAAGTGCTCTGCTGCTTTCTTACAGAGAACAAAGCTAGCAAGTGACATTTCCTCTATTTATCCTTGGTGCCTCTTGCAGGGAGGGCTGTCTACTTTCTCCACAGCTCTAACCTGTCAGCTCCTAAATAGAGAAATAAAAAAAAGTTAGTAGTTATTATTATTACTAAATATAGTCATTATTCCATTAAAATTCTTAACACATACATGGAGCCACCAACTGATCTCATCAGGGGAGAAAGCCTCTGTTGATGATTATGCTGATCACCTGGTTCCTTTTTTAAAGCCCTGACAGATACATAAGCTATATTACAATAGATAATAATGGTTAGCATTCCCACAGTTCATGATCTACCTTAGCAAGCTTTGGTGCTTTATATTATTTAATAAACTATTTTTTAATGGGCATAGTGTTTCACTGTATTTATATGGGTAAACAAGCAACTACATATGCAAACTATCTTCCTGATTAAGATCTTCAAATTATGCAGATTTTGGTTGTTGCAGATCCAGTGGTTGCACATGCGTTTTGCTTTATTACACCCTCTGGATTTCTTCATAACTATCTCATACTTTCCTGCCTTAAGGTGTACAGATGCTTTCTTGATATCCAAAAGAATTTAATTTTGAGTCGTCCATGGCATTTTAAAGTAGCAGTGGAATGATATGCTCATTAGTAAAAAGAAAAGGTACTTAAAACAAAAAAGAAAAAAAACCAACCAAAAAACAAACCACAACTCAAGAAATCCAGCCAGTAGCCTAAGGCAAACCGGCTTTTTCATGTAATGTTAGCTGAATTACGTGCCATGTGGTGTTTATAATATTTTACTATGCCAAGCAGATTAAACTAAAATTGGGAAGAGTCTATTTGGATTTATTAGTGTTTATTAGTTTTCTACATATTTATATGGGAATCAGCATTTGTAAAAGATGGAGGTAAGGCTTCCCATGTATCTGGTTAACCTGAACCTGCCTTATAGATAAAGATTTCACCCTCTGAAGTGGGATCCCAATACTTTCCACAAGCCTTATACGTACTTCAAAGGAAAAAGCCAGGTTGCACACATCTTAAGTTGCTTTCATTCCTAGGTAGGTGACACACATTTGAGTTACTAGAAGTACTGCTTCAGGAGAACTACTAATCAAAACTACTTCAAAAAAAAAAAAGGAACTATACTAACTTAGATAAATACTAACTTAGATATTTAAAATGGCTGCAGCCAGTTAGCATTCAGGAAATGTAACATTGGCAAAGAGGTTTCTCTAATCCCGGTGTAGACACAGTTTATGTAGGGACAGCTTGTAATAGATAATGTTAAAAACATCATATACAGCTTTTATCTACTTCTCTTAAACACACCATTTTTTATAGATGAACAATTAAAAACATACATAATTTTTAAATCTGGAAAGCTAAAAAAAATAATTTCTGAAGATGCTTGGGTTAAGAGACACCGGAATTTACCCTTCTATCCAAGCCTTACACTAGGCAGCAGCTTGTCAGAGCAGCGCAATGACTACATGGCAGCTTCTGCTTCCTCAATGTGATTTTCAGGGCAAAGCAGGCAACAGCAGCTTGCAAAGATCAGCTTTCTGAGCCAGCAGAAGTGACTTTGAAAGTAGCCAGTCATGGTCATAAGCTATCCTTGAATGAGAGCTTGGGAATGGTATCACCATTAACTTATCACAGCTGAGCACATCTTTGAACACTGTCACAAGTCAGGACTGAGTTAACACACATAGATTCATGGTGTAACTGCTGTAAGAGGGCATTGTTCAACATCCTTTTGCACACAACCTTCCATGCCTTGTGTATCTGCATTTCTGCATCTGTGAAACTACCACCTGGTAATGGCTTCCAATATCTCTAGAATATATGCCTAGAAGTCAGTCTACTATACTTTTAACTAAATATCAGCATTTCCTTTTGAAAGGACCCCAGAGAGATTATAATTTGATCTCTAGGTGACTCGGAGAAATCCGAAAGAGAAGCAGCTTTCCACAAGAGATGCAAGCAGCTTTTGCAAATACAATGACAAAATCACTAGTTTTACACCCATTATATCTCAACACATTTCAGATGATAAATGCTTCTGCTCACTCTCCCAGAAGATGACTCGCTTTAAGCAACGCCTGGAGCTCTATGATTTCATTTTTCATTTCTTTCTTCACATTTCATGGGGAATTTTCCTTAGGAAGCAAACAGAATGCTGCCATCCCAACATTCAAAGTCTTTTTCCATTGGCATTGGCCAGAGCAGTTCCTAGCGGGCCACAAATAAATCCCTGTAGCATGCCCTGCTTGGAGCTGTACTCTGAAAACATGTAGGAACTGAAGATAAGCAGCAGCTCCATGTTGAAATAAATGAGGGCTCATGCCAGCAATATGTTGCTTCAGAGCAGCAAAATCAGTTCGATTCTGTCCCTTCCAAACTGTTTAGTTTGTTTTTAAAACACTCAGAAGTGCTGGTGTCTGCGTACCCCTCTCCTCTGAAACAGGTGCTGCAAATGAGCTAATCGGAGGGTTTGGAAAAAATGCTGGTCAACAACAAAGCTTTTTCTTTCAGTAATCCTCAGAATTCCCTGCAGGCATCAGTCTTTAAAAATTCAGGCCATGCTATATAGTTCATCCTTTCTCACTGGTATTTTTAAAGGGTATTTGGAAGTTTTTGATGTGGACTATTTTGGCAGCCGGGAGAAATTTTACTGCTGAAAGACAGTCCATTTTACTTGAAAATTTACTGTTTTATTAAAGATTGAGAACCCAGACGTTTCTTTATTAGTCATTCCACATGCATTTATTAATAAGTCTTTAGAACCAGCCTAGAATTATTCCCACTTTATGGCTAGAAAAACTGGATTAAGAATTTACCCTAATTCTCAAAGGCAGTCAGCATCAGCAGAAACAAGGCTAGGTCTCTTAAATCTTACGTCTTGGCTATCCATCAAAGGAGGAACGTGCCAGTCCTGTAAAATAAAATTCTAGGAAACACATTCTGCTTAGTATTAAAGGCTATTTTTCTCTGAATAACTAAAAAGAATAGATAGGTTGATTTTAGTGACGAAAATCAATATTGTTTCACAGTGAAGAAACCTAGAAGTCATATTATTATGTAAATAAAAATTACTAGCATATCTGCAGAAAAAGTCATAGGAAAAATCCCTGTTGAGGGGGGTAGAAATACAAATTATCTGTACCTCACACACTTTACACAATTCAGGTTTTGGTGCTCGTGTCTGTGCATAACGCTACTCGCTCAACAGGACAGTCAAATTAAAACAGAGTCATTCAAGTCGCTTTGGGAAAATGAATGAAATAAAGAATGATGAAAACTCATTACTAGATCTGGAGAGTAACAGACCAGATGGCAGGTTCATTGAGACATGTGAATGCCCAGCATTTCTGAAAAATGAGGTCAGAAGCACCAACTTTGCAGATAGGACTCTCAAAGAACAGAAGCCTGTGACTTCGGTGGGCTAAAACCCACAGTCCCCAGTGCCATTTTCCTTTAATT